AGACTTTGTTGAATTGTAATTTTGTGATTGTAATTCTGTACATTTAATTAAATTATTGTTAATTGTTATTGGTTTATTGTATGTGGCTATTTTTCGGGACGAACAATATTAAGGAGGGGGCAGTGTTGCGTCAGCAAGGTCACGTGACTAGTATCACGCCACCTATTTTCTAGAAATATCTTGTTCCTTCATGAATGCCCTAACATTTACTAGATATATGTTTGTCTGGTATATATATAGGACGCTCACAACGTGACGGGACAAAGTGTGTAGGTAGTGAGTAATTGAACTGCAGTCAGAAAGTATTGTTGAAGTAAACGTTCGTTGTTAAAACATTTGTTATAGAGCGACTGTTGAAAATAAGTGAATCGGTAAAGTTATATTCAGAAAGAATAAACCAGTTTTATTAAGTAAGGACTTGTGTCGCTAAAGTTTCGTCCGAAAAATCAATTAACGACTGGAGGCGTAACAGTATTAAGTTATCTGTACAGAAACATTTATAAACATTTGTTGTTCATATTTGAACTATAATAGGCCTATATATCCTGATAGTTTTGTTTACTGCTTTTTGTAAAATAATAACAAACCTGAGCACGAACAACACCTTTAAATTAAATTATTAATCTCTAATTAATTATACTTACATTAAAATCAGAAGCAGTTTTTCTTAATGACTCGTTATGATTAATAACTCTATCAGCCGCCTGCTCAAACACATTTGTTGACATAGTTCCTCTATCAGTCTTTCTAATTTACGGGCGAACCATAATTGCAATTGATCTGTAAAAAAAAAAATAATTCATTAATATTTCATGTGCATTACACCTTTTTGATGAACTATGCTGTTACAACATGCCCCATATCGACATGGGGTATAACAATGTATCCATACTAATTCATCGTCAAACAACATAACTCAATGTTATCGTATATTAAGAGGTATTAACTATCGAAGTCTACAATTAATAAGAACAGTATCAAAACACAGTATATAAAGAGTAAATAGATATTTCATAGACAATTTTTTTTTTAGTTTAGGTATGCAAAAACAGAAAATGTACATAACTTTTCTATTTCGTGACTGATCTTATTCATGTCGCCATTAAAACAAAGCTTGCGCAACACGTGTACGATGGTCCGTGAACTATCGCCGTCTATTAATCTCAACAAGAGCTAGAGGCACTGTATCAACTTGCCCCTGTAACAACTAGCCTCGGTCTCCCCTACTATTACTACACTAATATTAAAACGTGACAGGCTAGTACTTCTACTAAACTAATATTAAAATGGGATGATAGACCAGAACTTCTAGTAAATTAAAATCAAAACGTCATAAGCCAGTACTTCATGGAAATGAAATATTTAAATATTTAAATGTGATAGGCCACAACATCTACTAAATTAATATTACAACGTGATAAGCCAGTAATTATTTCGACTGAACTACTATTACTACTTCATATGCCAGTAATTCTACTAAACTATTATTAAATCGTGATAGGTCGTTACTTCCTTTAAAATAATATTAAAACGTTATAGGCCAGTACTACTACTAAACTAATATTAGTACGGGATGATAGGTCAGAACGTCTACTAAACTAATATTAAAGTGTGATAGCCGAGTATTTTTCCAAACTAATATTAAAACGGAATGATAGGTCGGTATTTCTACTAAACTAATATTAAAACATGATAAAAAGGAATTTCTAGTACTATTAAAACGTGATAAGCCAGTACTTCTACGAAACTCATATAAAAACGGGAAGATAGGCCAGAACGTGTACTAAATTAATATTAAAACCATATAGTCCAGTACTTCTAACTAAACTAATATTAAAACAGGACGATAGGCCAGTACTTATACTAGACTAATATTAAAACGTGACTAGCCAGTACTTCTACTAAACTAATATTAAAATTGGATGATAGGCCAGAATTTCTATTAAACTTATATTAAAACTGGACGATAGGCCAAAAGTTCTACAAATTACTATTAAAACATAATAGCCCAGAGCTTCTAATAAACTAATTTTAAAACTATATAGGTAAGTTCTTCTACTATCTTAATACTAAAACATGATAGGCCAGTACTTCTACTAATCTAATATTAAAACATGATAGGCCAGAAATTCTAGTAAACTGATATTAAAGCGTGATTGGCCAGTACTTCTACAAAACTAATATTAAAACGAGATATGCCAGAACTTCTACTAAACTAATATTAAACCGTGATAATTTAAAACTAACACTGTTGCGTCAGCGAGGTCACGTGACAAGTATCACGCCACCTCCTTCTAGAAATATCCTGTTCATTCGTGAATTGTCGGGAGACTACTAGATTGGGGTAATCTAGTATATATAAGATGATCACAACGTGGCGGAACAATGTATGAGTAATTGAACTGCAGTCAGACAGTGTGTAATTGAGTATTTTTGAAGTCGAGCACGTGAGACGTTCGCTGAGAATTATAGCGCGACTGTTG